TTGAACCTAAAAAAGATGGGAAGAAATTCATGGTTTTGGGCCACAACCTTGTAATGGGCTAAATTTATATAGTTAAAGTGACATCAAAGGAGCTACACTAATTTATATAGGAACTGACCTTCTGCTGCAGCATTTCGTACCTACAGAAAAGCCTCTAAATCTCTTTGATTTGTTAACTTCCTATATAGGGAGGCTGTAAACATTTGATATTGTCACTCCTCCTGAAAAGTTTGTTTCAGATCTCCTTTTTAGAAAGACCAAGTGATCTTGCTCAATAATACTGTGCATTTAAATAGAGAATTATTAGTCAGCTTAAAGCTTTCTTATGCCATTGAAGCAGGCTGGTTTAATTTCTGCAAATTCAACATAGCATCCTGGACACTCCAGCACAGCAATGACTATGCCAGTCTCTGATAAATAAAACTTCCCAACTGTACCTGCAGATACAGAAATGTTAGAGGTGCATTAGGATCTACAATCTCTGTGTCTCATGGCTTTTGCTGTCATTTCAGGATAAACCAGGCCACAAATCTGGGATATTGTACTCAGTCATGGAAAAGAGCTATTAGACTAATTCCTTCTCTCAAGTGCATGAAAAATGTCAGTACCTATTTCAAGCCAAAAAGTCTAGCCTATATTAACTCAAGACACACAAAAACACCGTTTTCTATTCCTCTGAAAAGTAAGTTTTCTAACTGCGTATTTGCAAGGAATTCATAAAACTAGCAAGATATTTACTTTTCAAAAGAAATGTCCACAGCCTGTACAGTAATTTGAACAGGTGTTAATTAGGTGTACAGAAAGGCCACTGAGGATAATTTATATATCCCCCTGCAACAAAAAGAAAAGCGAATAAATGTTAATTGCATACATTATGCAACAAATGATTTTTTAGGATGGCACTAAATTAGCTGCAAATATTATAATTACAAAGCACTGGGTAATTTACCAGAGATTAATTGAAATGATTAAGTGCAAACTGCATAATTGTGCAAGGTAATATTAATGCCTTCTGCACAGAAATGGAAAAAATAGTGGCTGTTACTGGCTATTTAGGGAAGAACTTTATGTTCCTCATGAAAGTATCCGTGGTACTTCTCTCCTGCACCCTTCTCTAAAAGAGAGATTATATAATTTGGGGGACAACCCACTGTAATGCTAATAGCAACAAGAATGTCTAAAGCAGCCTATTTCAGGGATTGAATCTCATCCCAATTACATGGGAGCAGCACAAAAATATTGCTCCACGGTCTGTGTCCGGAAGCCTTTTATGAGAGCTGGAGCAACAGCAGRTATTTACTGTACAAGCACTTAAGCAAGAGCACATGCAATCTACATACATTCCTCATAATGAAAATAAAGGGGGCACACCTTAAGTAAGAGTTGGAAACATGACTACAGAGCAATAGTTGTAATTCTCCTTTCTGAATTCAGTGCAGCAGTCTCTTGCATAGAGGCTTCCTATGGTGCTACATGGAGGTGGAAGAGGATGGTGATGAAGAGGGACAGGGGAAAGGGAACAAACCTTGCTCTAGTCCAGGAAGGTTTTATCACGTAGCAGTTATTTGCCATTTGACATGCAAGGTGCTTTTCTGAAATTTATCCTCTCTAAACCAGAACAAATATTCAACATGCTTTATCTTTGCCACTATTCCTTTTTTGGTGGAGTCTTAGTATTTAATACAAGTCAAGTGTAGCTATTCAAGAGTGACGGGGCAAACAGGAAAAGAATTTGGTGTTGGGAGTAACCGGACTTCTGTGGCAGGCGGAGGCAGACATTAGCAYGTTCTTTTGGGCAGAGGGGTGTCACAGCTAATGCCATCCAGGGACACATCTTTTGCTTTTCATAAATGCACAGGCCTTAAGGCAATAAGAGAGGGACTGTGAACAGCAAAATACTATAAATGAAAACAGGTGGCTCGGATGCTTTGGCTAGTCCAACATTAGACCATAAAATGCTAAAGTGGTCAAGATGCAAGACGCATTTCCAGAAAACTCTATTTGTACAGGCTGAAATGCGCAAAGGCATGTGGGCAGCACATAAACCAAGTAATTCCTATTTAAAAYGATGGGTAGGCCCTCAGTACAGCACTAAAATCCCCTTGCTGCCATGCCAGTTAGTAAATTTTGACTGTAATTTCAGTCCAACCTTAAAACTGTTTGAAGAGCTCAATTCAGTCCCCAGAGGATAATCCGGAGGCCTGTTCCACTTGGTATCTCATRTTAACGTGGGTTTTAGCTCCTTGCACTTGAATAGTGTTGCTTGAAGCTAAGCACGCGCAGTGTTGAAYAGGAACTGCTCAGTAAATCTGGGCAAAAAGGTTTCCCTAACATTAAATAAAAAGACTGCAGACAATGTCTATTAGCACAAAACACTGAAAAGACCCACTCTGGATTAGAGAGTCCAATTTAAAATTATGGCACATATGCAATCCTAATAGCTGAAGGAAATGGGGCGATAGTAAATGCAGATCTGACTTAATGATGAAACAGGAGTGAATCCCACAGCCACACAGCCATGCACAGAGCCTCTGAAGCAAAAGCAGCGGGACGTTATTAGTTGTGCTGCCCTTAGCAAGCTCTGACAGGTATTTGTAGCTCAGAAGGTTCATTATGGAGCAAGAGACAAGAATCACGATTCCCTAAGCAACAACCAAGTACCTGGTGGGCCTGGAGACGGGGCACTGCGTGAGGAAGAAGCAAGCTAGAAAAATAGGTAAGGGTGAAAATTAGAGCTGAGCTTCTTTAGAAGAACGACGCTGCAAAGAAAGTGCAATGCAGAACAAGTGCCAGTAAAGCTGCTGTCCAGCCACGTTCGCTTTCCTCCCTGATCCCTTCCTTGCCAGGGAGGGGTTTAATGACACGTGAACCTCTCAACTGGTTTAGCAGAATGTGGGTCCCCAGCAGCAGTAAAGCAGCACAAAATGACTGTCCCCACACATGAATTTCATTCCATTTAGTGAGACACCAGCATCGTGACYAACAGAAAATCGTGGACTGATTTTACTCACAAGTGTAGGGCAGCAGTTACTCTCCAACGCGGGCGTTCACAACTGCTGCCACAGCAAACATGAAAGGAAAGTCACAGCAAAACAAACACCCAAAAAGCAGTCGCTAAATACWATTCATAGCTGTTAGGCAACGCTATAGCAATGCTCTTAGACTGATAGGTTATTTTACATTGAGTTTACGTAAACAAGTTAAAAAGTATTTTGAGACTTTTGCAATTACTGAGAATTACAACATCCTTGATACTGAARTGAGATTTTTGTAAAATAAGCATTTTGTCCATCTGAAAACAAACAGTTCCTCTACCTGACAGAGTCAGTTGATTTGCCTTTGCTGGTATAAAGCCGTTTGATGGAAAAAATATAGTTTTTAGTATGCAAATATAGTCAATCCTAGAAAAAAAACATATAAACCATTAAATAAAATATCCTACACTGCCCTTGCAAGCTGCACCATTTCTGAAGCGCAGCATGCACACGTGTCAAGCTGGCCTGAGCAGTACTCCCCTTGCGGGGCGGAAGGCCGTGTTAGTGTCAAAGGTACAAACAGCTGTCGAGTCCCCCAGAGCCTCTTCCTGTTTCATAACAATCTGTGTCGATTAAAATATTGATTGAATCCAGTGAGATGAGTTGATGAATCTGCCACCCCACTGCGTGGGCAGTATTATGTTAGGTTAGTTACAACAGCTTTAAAAGGGTTGGCCTATTTAGCACCAGAGATAAATGCTACAGCATATAGGTATTTGCAATCCAAACTCAAAATTCCCATGCTTAACCTCTCTGAKGTTATTGTTTACCAAGATTATGAAGATCTAGTTAAAAAAACAACAAAAACAATCCCCTAGGTGAATAATACATTCTCAGCGCAAGGTTCTTAGAGCTTCCTTGGCTACAGCTGCATACTGAACAACCAGATCTATGGACCTGAGCTCAGAGCACAAAACCTGTTGCAGAAAAGGCATCAAAAAGACCCCTAAGCTCYGGGTGTTTGATTTCAGTCCCTGCAGGTGAGAAAAACTTTGAAGCTGCTGAGTTAAACTGGGTTGCTTAAGAGCTCAGGCCTGCAGGCCCAGGCTGGAGCTTCGCTTTCACTAACACTACGTGAAAGTAGCACTAAGTGATATTCGCACTTTAGCCATTCTGTAAAATACAGAACGTTTTATGTTAGCATACGGATCCTTTTTCCATTTTACTGACTTTACTGCATGTTTCAACATTAACTTTCTTTAATCTGTTTTGTAAAACTTAGCAATTTTCATTTTGGAGACACTCCCTTTGCAGCTGGATGTTTCAGTGCTTTTACCTGTACCTTGATGGCTGCAAATACAATCTAAAAGCCCAATTAAAAAAAGAAAAAAAAAAAAAATCAAACTCCATCTCAACAATTACAATTAAATATGTTCACTAGTACTATCTAAAAACACATGAATAAGACCTTGCCCGCTTATTTTATGCTCCTGCTGTGTATTATTGTCCCTTTATATGGTGACATCCAGTAATACCAGCACATGGCACCTTCTTTGAGGGAGGTTGTCTTCTACAATCCAAGTTGCTGATWAAATGCCTGAATGTGATTAATGAGATACAAGGGTTTTTGTTTGAGTTATGTCAGCAGACGCATAACTTTAAGAATCAAAAGAGATGTTTTACAAAACAAAACCRAAGGCAAACGTTTTACATTAAATCTTATAAAACTGTACAGAATAAAAAGTCTACAACATGAAAGTGGCCATTAAGCTGTTGTAATAGTTATGAAATGTAGTAAATATAGCAATTCTAATATTTCTCATATTTATCATATTAATCACTGTATTCATACAGCTATATTTGTGTGTATATATATTCAATGGCACTGTAAACATAGTTGTTGGAAAACACACATCAGGTCTTAGCCCATTAGAAGTTAAATGTTAAAATGCATCACTGTAACACCAATTTTAAAAAAAGAGCCTTGTAATAAAATGCACATTTTGATAATTTCTAGGACAGAAATCAAAATGAGACAGAATAGAGAACGCTCTAGATTCCAGACTGTTTTACCTTTATACCTATCATGATATACAAAATGTTAAACATTAAATGTAATTAAATAATATACAGTTTCTGAAATGGATTCAATTCAGAGATTTACAATACACAAAATCTAATTTGGAATAAACAGGAATTCCTGATAACTTCCATCTGTGGGATCTACGTGGAAAACTGAAGGCAGTTTCTCTTTAACATCCAATAGGCAAAGTAGGTTTGAGCTAATTATCCTTTTTTTTYCCCCCTCCACACAGAATTGCATTCCACCAGATAAAACATTATTCTGTTTATGTTTCCAACTGCTGGACATTCATCCAATAAACCTCAAGCATCTGCTTAAGCACACGGTAATAGCAGTTTGGGCAGCAGGGAAACTCACTCTCAGCAAACCAAGTATTTCTATTTTTTTCTATGGTTAAGGCAACTATAACGATACATTAGACACACCATATGCTTTTATGTTGTTTTCTACAAGCTAAACAGAGTGAAAAGAAGCTTCAAACATGCTCTGACCTTCTCAACCGCTTCGGACTTTCCTCAGGCTGGTACAGAGTACCCAACTTCAGCACTGTTTGCTACTGGAGACGTGGGTTATTCGCTGTTCACTAGAGAAACAGTGTGTGTATTGCCTTGAATGGAAGGCCAGCCACGCATTTAATTAGAGAAAAATAAAAACAACACAACCAACGAGTCAGATTATCCAGTGAACAGAACCGAGAAAAATGGTAACACACACGCTTACAATTTCTGGGTTCCCAGTTACTTCTACCCAAGCACTGAAGCCACTCAGCGCTTTGTGGCCTCTCCCTTGGTGCCTCAGGCGGGCTCGTGGCAGCCTCTCTTCAGGCACCGCACGAGGAGGCTTCTAACAGGCCACACGAGCACTGAACTTTGCTTTCGGGTGGGTAAGGCTGCGGGTATAAACGACAGTGAACAGAAACATGGGCACCGCGGCTGCGTGGCTACAGTGGCCCACGCCACAGGGTGGCCAGAGCCGCCAGGACGCAGAGCAGGGTGGCCGGGCCTGGGCGGCTCCCCTTGCTGGGGACAGTGTGTTTGGAAGAGGACTTGACGGTGCCTGCAGTGGTGGTGCTGGTGTCAGTCTTTTTCACAGTTGGCTTGGGCTCGTTCCTGTTTTCTGCATGGGTTTTCTTGAGTCCATCTGAAAACAGGAAAGTAAATGTGAGATTAATCGCGCAGCTCTAAAGTTGTGCCTTTGAATTCTGCCTGTTGCTGGAGAACATCCTGCACGAGCTGGAACAACTGAAGCTCACAGGGAGCGCGAGGGGCCTGAGTTGTGCCAAGCACAAGTTTAGCCCAGCAGCTCCGCTCTGCTTGCGCACGTAGACACAGCCTGGCCGCAGACCGGGCTTGCTCTGCCGCCAACGACCTCTGTTCACCTGGAATGGGCCAGGTCAATCCCAGGGAGAGGAATGACTTTTTGTATCATGCCCTAGGGAAACAGCAGAGGGGTTCGTGAGCTGCTGCCTTCTCCTGGGAATTGCCTTCCTTCTGCTCCATTGCTGTCCTTTGCTTTCAAGCAACACACGACCTTGGATAACGTGGCAAGACAGATTGCTAGCACAAGCAAACAAAGAGGTGTCTCCTASACCCTGTTCATCTAGACGGGCAAGAAGAGTGTTGACAAAGAGAAAGTGCTTCACATTTGGAGTAACTGGTTTTCCTAGTAAGAACAAGGACTTTCCTGTTTTGTTTTTCAAGTAGGAAAGAATGATACAGGGCAGTATTGTCCCTAGAAAGTCAAGTTGGGACTTCTTTAAAAATCCTTTATATAAGAAGGTAAGAAAATCTTCCTTGGAGAAAATGAAAATGTGGATTTTTAAAATGAGATAACGACTGAYAGAGGTCTCCAGTTATCTTCACTTTTCCTACGCTTTATGCATGTGTTACTGAGATCATACTGCCCCTGCTCCCTTTCACAAGCACTGGGGGAAAAATCATTATTTCCTTTGATGATGGGATGGTAATTTTACAGTTAATCTATAAAATACCCAAGTGTGGTAAAAGCAAATGCCTACCTAGAAGAAATTATAAATTAGCAGTAATTATTCTGGTCCAAGCTTAAAGGATTTTTGTGGTATTAATGRATGCAATGAACATTCGCACAGAAAGCAAAAAGCACAGATTTGTGATGCAGATTAAACAACTGCCCAATCTTAAAATAAAACCTCTGAATCATAGAAGCAAGTTCCTGGYAGAAAGTGAAAGACGGAAAGTATTCCAGAAATGTAAATGCAATCTGAGTTCATTGTCTGCATGTCAGTACTTCTGAACAACCATCAATAAACTTGCTCGATAATCAAAATGAGCTATTGTATTGCAAAAATACACATTGTTCTTTGGCGCTACAAACTGCAAAAGAGATGCAATGGATTTGTGGTTTTTTTTATTTTTTATTTTTTTTTAATCTTAATAACCGTCCCTGAAGAACTCATGATTGTTTGAACAGATTCAAGGATGCCTCTATGGGGAAGGGACACAGGGCAAGGCCTGGCCTGCTGCTGCCGTCAGAATTCCCCCCGGCAGGACGCCGACATCGCTCCTCGCCCGCTGCGGCGGCGCTAGCAGAAAGGCGTGCGGGAAGCGCACACTGCAAACACAGAAGGTATCARCATTCTGAGGACACCTAAAGAAAAATGGACAACCTTCACACTGTCATTAATGCAAATTAAGAATAAATCATGGAAWTAGGTGCGTTGTGACACTGCCGAGCCTCCTTTCCATCACTGTCATTCCCTTTTTCCACTGCGGGAAAGGGACTATTTCTCTGCTGCCTCTTATATCATGCCAGCCTGCTGACTTCAGCTCTCTGGGGCAGCTGATTAAATTAAGACCTCACTCAGGTAAATCTATTCCCTTCTTTCACTTGGCCATGTCCAGCACTGTAACTTGATTGGCCTCCATAAATTGGGCAGCCTGAAATGTATTAATTCATTTATTTTCTTAATATTGACCTCACCAAAAATCTAAGGTAATATTTAATGCTACCAGAGAGGCTGTTGGTTTTTAAAAGCTTTGCTCTCCATGACTGCTTAATGCACTCCATAACAGGCGTTAAATAATACATTAGAAAAGTCTGCCTTTATCSTTTCCAGGGGAAGGACTAAAATTTGAATTTCCTCACTGTCTTTAAAGCAGAGTATATTCAGATGCTATTCATGGCCACAGATTAGAAAATCTGTGATCTAATTGTGCAAAATGGATAATTCATTACAAAATCTAGAAAATCTGTGATCTAACTGTACAAAATGTATAATTTATTACAAAACCTTTTTTTCTTAGAAATAAGAAGATCATTCTTAATCCATTTTTTTCCAATCCCATTTTTTTTTTTTTTAAGCATCACAATTTCATGTTTTCTTTGGGCTGGCTCAGAGTTCCAGTTGCTTACTCACTCCAGCGTTTTGGCTGACAGAGCTAAATGAGTTTTTCCTCTTAAAWCTTCTCCCCTGAGTCAGGGATGATTATGTTCAGCCTACTACTGACATTCAAACGCCAGAGTAGTGAGTGTGCTAAAAAATGTGTTGGTGTGAAAACTAGTACAGAAGGAAAACTGTAGTCTCAACAAGGCAGACACAGTTGTTCAACCCCCATGAATTGAGCCCCCAAATCACCATTTCCTAAAAACCAACAAACCCCAATACTTTCATCTGTTCTAGTATTTAACTTTTAGGCATCGAGGCTTTATAGGTCTCAATTAAAAGCTTTCTCTACTGTTAGAAACTTCATTGTCATCATCCCTCCTCTTCTTTGCAGAAAGGGAGAAGACTTCAATGACCTTAGGCTGATGTATAACACCCTCTGGACGCTTATTTTACACCATTTACTACCTAGTGTGAAATATTCGTTATTTCAGCACACTATTCTATCTTTTCTGGAAAGATGCTGAACTACTGCATAGCTAGGCATAGGATTTAAGGTGCTGGGTACAGCTTGGGGGTCCCTTGCTGAGGGCCTTGCAGAGCTGCGTRCCCCGGGCTGGCTGCCACTTGGGTTGGTTGGAGGACGTTCACCCCATTAACTGCTGCTAAATTCACRTGTTGACAATATAAATAAAGCTCATCACGAAAATGACTTGACCTTGGTGCAGAGTGCATTCAGGCCTCTCTTCCCCTCGAGATGTAACCGCAGATGGCTGCACAGCAATGCGCACCGCTCGCATGGCACGAGCTCTCGTAAATACTCCTCGGGATCAATACCATCCTTCAGCAGGATGAGCTGGGGCAAGAGGGAGAGTCAAACCTGTCACTGCCATCTAATTTAGGGACAGGAAACCTCGTCTCTAGGGCTGAGCAAGCCTTTCAAACACTTTTGGTGAGTCAGGCATTAAAGCACACCTGAGGCTTAGCTAATAACAATACAGGGGAAAACCCTTGGGACTATCACTTGTTTAGGTCAGTGTCAGGTTATCTGGCACCCCCTCAAGTTATATTGGCACCCCAGCTGTTAGATCCTCCTCCCTAGCCTCAGTGTTTCACAGTTTGCTGCCCTGGTACTGGCTGGGATGAACAAAGATTGAATTATTTGCTGGTGTATGTGCATGTTGTTRCTCTCTAATGAGCGTAATCAGCAAGGTCTACTTAAACAGCTGTTGCAGGCTCCTATGGGCTCCCCRGGGAAGAACAAGCTAATTTGCTTGACACAAAACACCGGCCCAGTTCTGCCCTTCCCCTGCCCCTTGCTCTGTGCAAACACAGGGCTCCCAGACAGGGAGCCACTGCTGAGCAGCCATGGATCATCACGCTGGGCAAGGGCACAATTCCAGTTTGAATAAAAACCAAAGAGGGAGATGGGCCAGACTAGTCCTATATGTCTTAATTTCTAAATTGTTAGTTTCTCATGGAGTTAGGACACTGAAGTCATGGACAAACTCACACCACAGGAGAAATTCTGAACAAGTTTCCAAGGGCTTCCCACTATGAGCTTCTAGGGAGAACTTCTAACATGCCACTCTTTGGAGGGACCATTTATTTCTGCTTTCYCACATGGATTATGTGAAGCTGCCCATTTCTCCCTAACCTTTTCGCACAAACAYTGCACTTTGAAATGACAAAATGTCAGCAACTACACAGGTAAATTAATGTCTTGGTCTTGAATGCCTCATCATGGTTGTAATGAGCRCCAGGCAAGGCAGGACTAAAGTGCATTGATCGGTACCCGCATTCRCTCTCCACATTGTAGCTCAGGCGCTTGATAAGTGTCACTTCAATCACAGCTTTGGCTCCCAGCCTTGTGAGGAAATTATGGCAAGGTGCAACTCGGTAGAACAGCCTCTTAAATTACAGTAGATGCCACAGTTATTATTAGCTTTTTATCACCTCTGGTAGCAAAAGGTGAAATTACTTCTACATAGTCAAAGGAAGGAGCTCTGAAACTGCACAACAACGCTGTCGCCGCACACATCCCAACAACTCCCAAACAACGTGCTATGCTGACGCCGAGCCCCGTGCTAGTTACTGCTGGGTAGAGCTGCAGCAGGCCAAGGCAAACAGGAGCGCTGGGCACGGGAGYGCGAGAGCTCCCAACGTGTGGGGAATGCGTGACGCGATTCCCAAGCTGCGGTGTCTGTTTTGCCCACTAGCCAACCTTTTTTAGTCAGAAAAAAAGACAAGTTTAATATATCCTGTTTGGAGTTCTCAGAAGGAGGGAGATATTAACATCTCTATAGCCTCCCACGTATGTGATATTCTGCCCCTTTCTTTTTCAGCCTGAAAATACAGTTATTTCTATATAATCCTCTTCCCCTGTAAAGAACTTCAGCTTAGCCTGCAAGAACCTTCAACCAGAAAAGACAACAACAAAATCATTGATGTTCCTCAGGCAATCACAGGGTTGCATTAGGTTTAGGACAGCCTCTCCCAAAGAGTTGCAGGACAAGATTATGGGGTTTGACTTGCTCTATTTTGGACCCCAATTCAGTGATCAGTCACGATCTTCTCCCCTGTCTTTTCAATAAATTTGAGACTAAAAGACAAGCTGGCCTTGGGAGGGCAGCCATAGCCCRGGACAGGTTTCTAATGGCCTAAGAAACTATGTGTGATCTTGTTCCTCTCTAAGACAGCAAGAGAACTACTTGACTTCTTGCACACTCTGTGAATTTTGAACGTAAATTCTTCAGGGGCAGAAGCACAGCCAATCTGC